TGTTCCCCAACATCTGCTCTACACTTCTGTTACCCCAAAGTAACAGAAGTTACTGCTTTTTATCTGGTCATACGGCTATCTGGATTCAGACTACATTTTCCAGCTTCTCTTGTAATGAAGGGTGGCCCTGTGACCAAGTCCTAACCAATGTGATATTAGAGAAAGTGCTATATGACAGTTTCTGGAGCCTTTTCTCAGAAATAATTGACCTCCACCTTTTGCCCTCTCTTTCCTACCCCTTCACCCTTCCCAGATGCAGATGTGATGGCTGGAGCTCAAGCAGCCATCTTGGACATCAGGCAGAAGTTACAATTTGAGGATGGCAAAAGTAACAAAATAGAAGGAACTAGGGTTCCCAATGATCATGGAGATGCCATGCCAACCCGAGGCTGTATATGTATATTTACTTGTCATAAGAGAGGTTACAAAGTTCTATCTTATATTTCCTGTCATGCACAACAGAACTCAATCTTTATTCAGTAGCTTCTTACCTTTTTTCATGAGCTCACCCTGTGCACCTACTAACCATGCTAAGGACTACTATATGCTTCCCACCCTTTGAGTAAGTATTTATTAAGCACTTACTATGTGTCAGGCAATGTAATGGTGCTGGGAAAATAGTAAGGAGCAACACAGACATGGTCTCTACCCTGAAAGGCTTTGTAGTTGAGAGGAAAAGACAGCAATGAAATGAATGCATGTGTATATAAGTAATCACCATCTATGACAAGTGCCTTCAAAGAAAGGTACAAGGCAGTTTGTAAGCAGACAAAGGCCCTCTTCTCTGGAGCCCTCTTCTACTCACGGCTATCAGGGAAGGCTTCCCTGAGGAAGTGACATCTAATCTGAGTTCTAGGGAAAGTGGGGTTAGGAATATAGCTTAGTGCTTGTTGCTTAGGCTATTACATCATTCAATCAACTGTGACCTGACTGATATTAGTAGATATTCTGTTTGGAAATATCCACCGTTATTTCATGGAAAACTTTGGTCCCTGATATGCATTGAATTATCTTAATAAAATGACACTCTGCCCCACAAACTGTTACTTGTATATAATCTAGTGACAAAAGTGGTTGCAATGTTTTCTGGAATAAATTTTATGATTTAAGCCGAAAAAGGAAAAAAGAAAAGCTCTGCCCTCGAGCCAAGGAGAATCTGAGTCAAGAGCCCCCAATCCAAGCCACTAAACTTCTCAGACTGGCAGGAGCTGAGGCTGCCTGGGAGTTAGGGTTGGGGTCCCAGTTCCTACTCAGCTGCCGCGTCCTTGTCTACTTTCTCTAAACTCTAACTTTCTCACTTGTGAAATGAAAACAATACTCAGACCTTCTCTAGGCCTCTTGCGAGGCCTGGTGAGGGTGAGGCATGGAACACCCTGGGGGTGAGGCCTGAGCTGTCATTTTTTATCTGCAACCTGACCCTGCCCTCCCCCAGCCCCAGCTATGCCTTCACTCCCATCAAGCTGAGCAGACTCCTTCATCCTCCAACCCAAGGGAGGGGCCCCCCTGGGGGCAGGGGGCCCAGGATACCCCCTTCCCTCCTTTCTGGCTGACCAGGGAAAAGACAGGAAAAGCCAGATGTTTCACAGATGTTGCAGATTGTAAGCAAAACAACAGCACAGAAGCGCCTTCTCTGAGGCCCCAGGTCTGTCACTTGGGGGGCTGGGAGCACTGAGTGAGAGGCAGCGGTGAGGGGCAGGCTTGGTGAATCAGAGAGTTTCCAGGATAGGATGCGAGCGGGAGGGATACAGCAAGGAGGAATTAGGCCAAGGGTCCAGGGGAGCCAGGCAGGGAGGTGGGGGTAGGGAGATCAGGGAGTTTGGTGAGGGCGAGGGGGTGGGAAGGAGTGAAGGTGGCTAACTGGGTGAGCCCGTGGGGGCCTGGCTGGGCAGGAGACCTATTGCTGACCTACTTCCTTTGCCCCACGTCCACCGTGGGATCCCAACTTCACTGGGGAAGAACTTTAGAACCAAGAGGCTCCCCGGTGCTCCTGAGCCACCTCTGGAGGTGCTGAGCTCCCCAAAGCAGGAGGGATGCAAGTAAAAACCCAAGAAGGGACCCAGGCACCAGGCAGCAGTCGGATCCAGAAGGTCTCTTCCAGGTTGGAGAGTCTGGGAGGCCGTATCTGCCCCCAGCCAGGCCAAGAGGCCAATAGCTCTAGGGTCCACATGGAGCTGGGTGAAATGGCCACAGGCAGGCCAGGGCTGAATGCCCGCCCACTGCTTTCCACCGAGAGGCACTACCGTGCTGCCCTCTCCCCTTTTCACCCTTCACACCCAGTTTGCCAGCTGACCCCGGCTGCCCGCAGTCAGGCCAAGGCTGGGCAGCGGTACGGGGACAGACTGTTTGTGACCTACTCCCTGGAACAGGCTGGCTTCATTCTCCAGCAAAACCATTCCTGGAAGGACAGGGATCTGGGGTGGTCAGGCTCCCCGTCCACTCTAACGAAGGTAGAGAGTGAGCTTTGCCACTTCCCCGTGACCCTGAAAAGTGATGTGGTTGGTGGCAGCTTATGCTGGAGGCGCAGGTCCCTGGGCCAGGCCCTGGGTTCAACTTGCTGCCAACAGCCTGGCTGGGCCACTGCCACTCAGGTAGGTGCCAATCCGCACAGTCTGCAAATGAGAAACTGAGGCAGAGAGGCTACAGGATTTTTTTTTTTCCTCCAAAGATTTGCAGCTTGTAGTAAGTGGCAGAACCAGGGGCTAAGTGAATCCTAGAGCCTGGCTCCAGGGCCTGGGCCTTGTACCTCTTGCACATTTGCTGCTCCCCTCCCTCTGCCTCAGTCTTCCCATCTGTGAGATGGGGAGGGAGCTGGACAGGACGTGGTGACCTCACAGCTCTCAGATCCCACATCGACCGGCCTGGGGTTGCTAGATGGAGACCACATGTGAAAGAAGAAATGGGGAACAGCCCAGACACCATATGGGTAAGGGGCCTGCGGCCTAAGGCAGTGAGGGCTGTGCCCAAGTCCCTCGGGAGTCCAAGTGGGGGTGGGGCAGGCAGATCCAGGCGCTTTTCCAGGCTGCTCTCCAGCTGTTGTGTGTAGCCAAAGCAACTTGGAGGCCAAGGGCGCCGGGTGTGAGTAATGGAATCCAGGCAGTGGGGCCTTCCGAAATGGGAATTCCATCTGCCTGACTTGGTTCTCCTGGCCTGAGGTTTCCATGGCAATTTGGGAATGGGAAAGATGGAGGGCCCAGCCCAAGGCTGACTCCCTGGAACCTAGGCAAAGGGGAAGGTGAGTCTCCTCCCAGACCCAGGGTCCCCTCCTCGCCACGGCAAGGCCAGGTGAGCCCAGACTCTGACGCCCTGAGTGCGGATGTCAGCTATGCAGCTACCGTTTTGGGGGACCAGGAGTGGTGTTGCAGTCCTCTCTGGGCCTCAGTTTTCCCAGCTGTCAGGTCCCCAAATCTCCAGGCCTGGACAACACCTGAGTGTCATCCCTCACTCTGATCCAGGCGCGCATCTCTGTCCCCCGTCCCTCTAGGTCATCGAGGCCCTGGCAGCTCCACCCTGAGAAAGCCCTTCACCATTTCCAAAGCCAGATGGGGTTCCCTGGCCAGGCCCCCGGCCCCAGGGAGAAGACCCAGCCCCACCCCGGAGGAGCTCACACACCGGTGCTGGGGGAACAGGCTGTGACACTTATTAAGCACCTACTGTCTGCCTAGCCTGACATTAGGACCCCAGAGACCACCGTTTCTGATGTTCTCCATGTGCAGGGGGATCCTGGGGTGCCCCTGCCCTGGGAGACCAGCAAGGGAAGGCAGGGAGGAGAGTGGCTGCACAGCCCCCTATCCTTTGCATCTCCAAGTCCCCAGGGGGCAGCCCTGAACCCAAAACCCCACACAGGAAACAAGCCCCAAGGAGATGGGGTCCTCCTGCAGGAACTCTGCCTGCCTTCATCTAAGTCAGCCCAGGGAGCCAGTCCTCACCTCGGGCCACACCCTGGTCCCTGCCTCCAGACCCTCGCAGGTACCACCTGTGGGAATCAGGGGCAGCTTTTGCATCAGCTTGAACAGGCTTTCTTCGACCTCTCTAAGCAAGCACTCCAGCCTTTCCTAAATGTGTATCTCCTGTTAAGAACAGAGGGGAACTCTCCCCCAGGGCCACAGAAGGACCCGCCCTGTCACCTCCTGAGCTCTTCCTCCATCCTAAAGTCCTCCATGAGCCCAGCAGCTGACACCCTGCCTGAGATCCTGGTCTCACCCACCTTCACCAACCATCCCTGTGCCTCCTATAAGTTCCCCTAGAATCTCAGAGTGTGGCAGAGAAGACAAAAGTGGAGGAACTTGCTGAAGGTCACATAGCCAGTTAGCAGCCCAGCTAGGACTCCATCCAGTAGCCAGCAGAGGACAGCAATCCAGAGAGCTGTGCAGTCAGGTGGGCTTAGGCTGAGCCCCGTCCCTGCCACTTGCCGGCTGTGTGACCCTGGAAAAGTCACCTTCCCTGCCTGGGTTTCACGTGCCTCATCTGTAAAGTGGGGATAACTGCCACCTCCCAGGCTTGCAGGGTAGATGAGACGGTAAGTGGACAAGCTTGGCAGAGCTCATGCAGAGAGGAGGCGGTTGATTGTTAGGGAGCAGCACCCACACCAGGATGGGAGGCAGGTGATGGCAAGAGAGAAGAAGCATGATTGACAGTGCACCCACCAACCCTCCCAGCCCCAGAGGCCCTGGGAAGCCTCGAAACCAGGAACACAGACAGGGTCGAGAACAAAAAATAACACAGGCCTTTTATTTGCTCCAGAACTCGGCCGCTGTGTGGTCTGAGGGTGCCATGCTTTCCCGGGACCCCCTGGGGGACTCCCCCCCTCACTCGGGGGGGCTGGATTTCGGTGTGAGGTCAGACTGCAGCCCCCGCCCCTCTGGGCCTTACCGGCCCAGCAGGCCCAGCTGCCCGCCATGGGGCTTGGGACCAGTGAATCCCCTGAAACTGGAGTATGGTGCCCACCTTCTCAGCAAGGCGGCTTCTTCACAAGGCGTTGGTTAAAATATTGCACTTGTAAATTAGGAAAACTGATGAGGCAAAGGTTTCCTATTACAGGACGACATGCCAAGCATCCAACTACTGTTTAAATAAATAAAACTCAAGGCAGGGGTCCCAGCAGTGAGCCCCAGCAGCTCCCCTGAAGAGCCCCGGGGCCCAGGCCTCGGCCCCTGCCACACCAGCCAGTTCTTTAAGGAACTTGGTCGTTGCGAAGTCTCCGCAGCAGGGAGCAGCAGCTCCAGATCTGTCTTAGCCTGGCCGGGCCCCTGACCTGCCCAGGCCCTCGGGCCCCCTCGTACCAGGGCAGCGGGGACCCCGTGGGGCCAGTCCCTCGACTCCTCTAGTGGCCTGGGCCTCTCTTGGTCCAGGCCTCTCATCCAAATGTCCGTCTGTCTGTGCGGACGCAGCCTCCGGGGGCTTGCTTGCCCCCTCTGTCGCAGGGGGGAGGGAGGCAGGTGGGGAGGGGCCCAGCCCGCCTGGTGTGAACACTGAGCTCTGCCCGCGTCGCCCCTAGAGCGGGGGACTCATCTTCTTCTGGTTAATGAGGTCCAGGTAGAGGTCCGAGCGGAGGAAGCGTGGGTACGAGTCCTTCTCCATGAGCCCAAAGATGCGCTTCTGGGCCAGGTCGAAGCAGCCCCGGGTCACGCTCTGCAGGTTGTCCTTGGTGTGCTCCCGTGTGTATGAGTCCAGGTTTACCTGCGGGCGGAGGGCGACGGGGTCAGGGCTGCCTGCAGGAACCTGCTCCTGGGGGCCGAGGCCGGGTCAGCGCCTGCCCAGCCTCTCGGCTCCGAGCCCTTCTGCTCCACATGGTGAGGTTCAGAGGGGAGCCCCCACAGGTTAGCAGAGTCAAGTCCTGGTTCGGTCACTAACTGGGGGGGTGGTAGAGTTTTTAGGGCCTGAAAACATCTCCTCTAGGGTCAGGCTACCTGAGTTCAAATCCCAGCAGTGCCACATGTTAGGTGTGTGACCTTAAGCGAATCGCTTAAGTGCTCTGAGACCTGGCTGTCTTAACTATAGGCGGGAATAACAGCGCATTCCTCAGAGCTGCGGACATTAAGCATCACCATCCATTCTAAATAGACAACGCCTGGCACACAGGAAGCACTCAGCAGACGTCAGGCTCTCTGGGACTTTGTCTCCTCGTTTTAAAAATGAAAATAATATTAACACCTATTTCACAGGTCGTCCTGAGGGTTAAATATGAGAGCTCATCTGTGAAGGGCTTTGCATGGGCCTGGCACCGAGCAGCCCCTGAGAGTGGCCATCCGTGTTATCGGTCAGGACTCTGTTCTTCCCGGGAACCCCAGCCTGCTTCCTCTTCACCCTAGGCACTTGGCCCCTAAGAGTCACTCTGGCCTCTCCCCTTGCTGAGCCCCTCGAGGCTTCCAGCCAGCCCCCTCACCGAGGGGCTGCTGCGCATGGGGCCGGGGGCCTGAGGGCCCAGCCCAAAGCCCTACCTCCTTGCACGCCTGAATGGCGATGTACTCGGCAAAGATCTTCTTGGCCTTGGCCGCCATCTTGGACTGTGACTTGACCTTCTTGAAGTCCTCGCATGCCAGCCAGAATTCCAGGTTCTCCTCACTAAACTCAGTGCGGAGGAAGGCCTGGAACACCGCTAGACCATCTGTGAGGAGAAGCCCAGACCTTGAGGTGAGAGGCCAAACCAGCCCCTCCTGCCCTCAGGCCCCCCCCCCCCCCGCAGCTGACCCTCTTGGCTCGTTTTGGGTGCAGATGCTGGGAGCTTAGTAAGGGGACCCGCTCCTGAGAGCCGGGAACCCAGGATACGGTCCCCACCCCTGCATTGCCTCTTCATAGGCCTTGGCCAGGTCTCTCCCCAGCTGTGCCTCAGTTTCCTCATCTGTCAAATGGGAACCACCTCCTGGATCCTAGTGAGGATCAGAAGGGGTTCCCGTCCACGAGATGACAGGCAGATCTGGCCCCGTGTACGCCCTCTGCACATGGAAGTGTTTATTGTTATTCTGGGAACATGGGTCTGAGTATACAGGTCCCAAAGGCCTCTGGCAAGCAGTGCCAGCTCTCATGGACAGGGAGGGGCTGGCAGCAGCAGGCTCCAAGGCCAGACCAAGGGCCTCAGCCTTTCCCAACAGCGGGGACACCTGACGGCCCGGGAAACAGGGAAAGGCAACCTCTCCAGGGCCAGATGCACTCTCTGCGCCTGGGAGAGGAGCAGAGGAGGACGGGGGAGAAGACACGGAGAAGGGAACAGGCCAGGTGGCCCCAAGCCTGGGAGAGGAGGACGGGGGAGAGGACACGGAGCAGGGAACAGGCCGGGTGGCCCCCACTTACACTTGTGGACCAGCAGCTTCTCCAAGGACTCGCCCCATTTCAGCGCTTCCTCTGAAGTGGGCCTGAGGGGGAGGCAAGGAACACAGTGAGGGGCCGGGAGGCTCAGGGAAGCGAGCTGACCTCTGTCCGCTGTCCTTGGCCCCACAAAGTAGCTGAGCCCCATGAGGAGCACATGAGGGGGCCCACCCCCTTTCCTGGGGCTGGCGGCATCACTTCTACCCCCACCTCTGCCCCGCCCCGGCCATCCTTCCCGGGACAGCAGCTCCCCATCCACGCTGCTCATGCAGGGTATGAGGCTCCTTCCACACGAGCCTCCACCACCCCCGAGCCCGATCAAGCCAAATGCATTCTCCCTTACACGCCCACCAGCCACCCTGCTCCCACGGGACCCATGAGTGTCTGAGGGGGCCCAGGGGTGCCAGAGAGGACCTACTTGAATGACTTCATCACTTTGTCTGTCTTGCCCGTTGGCTGGGCCCCAGGGGATTCGTTCCGCCGCCTAAAGATGCCCAGCTTGTTCTTCATGTCCTTGGCTCTGGGGACAGAAGCAGAGAAGGGGGTCGGTGAGGCCGGTCCACTCGCCCGCTGCCAGTTCAGGATGGGGAGGGCGGGGGCCGGGGCGAGGGGCACCTACTCCTTCATGGTGTGCCGCCTCTGGAGGTTCCCATTCCGAGTGAGGTACATGCCTCGGAGCATCGCTGTAGGGCCCCCCACCTTGCTGCCTGGGACGGTCTGCTGCAAGCACCCCCAGGCTCCTGTTCCCAAGCTGGGTACCAGGAGGCAACGGTGCGGGCGGCAGCCGAGCACTCACTGGAATCCCAGCCCCAGAACTGGACTCCCAGGCACAGGCCAGGCTGGGACTCAGACAGGAGGAGCCAGGAAATGGGAGGGACCAGGACGGGAGCAGGGAAAAAAAAAAAAATATCCCTCCTGGCCAACCCTGAGAGGCAGCCCCGTGAAAGGGGCATGTGTCTGTAAGGGGCGGCCTCTGGGGCCCGCCCAGGCAGGAAGCCAAACCCGTTATTTGTGACTGGCCTCCCCGTTACCATGGCAGCACCCTGGGAAGGAGGAGAAAACAAATCAGCAAGTTGCTGGGAAGGAGGGCGGGAGGGAAGGGAGGCTCTGCCCGTCAGGGTGGCAGGACCAGCTATTTTTAGCCAAGAGCCATTTTTAGCCCTGTCACTCCCCCAAGGCAGATTTCAGCCTGTGGGCAAGCTGCCGGTGAGAAAAGGGTTAAGCGTCTCCTGCTCGCGATTGCCTCCCCGGCCCCTAGACCCCTCTCTGGGCACGTCCCAGAGAGTAGTTTCTGCCAGCAGACTGCTCAGTCTCTGTCATGAGCTTCGGATATATCCACCCATGAATATGCAGGATGTCCCATGAAGTTTCAGTAGCTTTAAGCTCCAATCACTTCAAAAGTACAAAGCCCATAAACTCTCAAAAACATCATTTGAAACAAATTAACTTTCTTGCGCCTACTTAGTCTTATGACTTTTGAATAATACATTTTTTTTGTTTCAGTTTTTGATCTCTGTCCTTTTGATTAAAGATGACAAATGCTGACTGAACCGAAAAATTAAATGCGTAAAATTTAAAATGGGTTATCAAAACCGGAAAGCTAAGTAAATGTAAAAGAAATTTAAGTAACGGAGCTTTCAAGTCTGTTTTATATACTGGGCAACTTACTTCTGAAGTCATCCGAGCTTCAAAGGGCACTAAGACCGACGGGACGCCCTATTTAATGAAGGCAAGTGGTGCAGGTGGAAGTTAGGGGCAGAAGTGCTGCAGCAAGACCGTCTCAGGTTCAGCTCCCAGCCCCAGCCATTACCAGCTGTGTGCCCTTTATCGAGTTACCTAAACTCTCTGAATGTCAAGTTTTCTCATCTGTTAAACACAGATGATGAGAGTACCTACCATCTGCTGGGGTTGTTTCAAGGCAAGGAAAAAAATGCACATAAAGCTTTAGCACAGTGGCTGGGGCAAAAGCACTCAGGCTTATCTACATGGACCCTGAGGTCCTAGGGCAGCTGACTGAGATGAGGACCCTGCTCTAGCAGATTCCAAGCCAATGAGATAAGGCCAAGAAGTCCAGGGACGGGCAGCCCTCTGGTGAGGATCAAGGCCTTCTGAGAGCCTTGGTGGGCTAGGAGTGAGAGAGCCCAGCTTCTTGGGGCACAGTGCTCTGTTTCAGACCCTGGCTCCTGGCCCGCTGTCGAGATGAGGACATAGAAGCTGGGGGGCGGGGGGAAGTGGGGGAAGAGCTGGCAGGGGCCAACCTGCAAGCTGCCGCCGTCCACTTGGGCTCATTGCTGGCTCAGAGACCACTGCGTTTCTCTGTGGCTGGAGGAGGCGGAAGCCCCTGCCAAGTCAAGCCTTTCGCCCTAGATGCACAGCTGGGCAGACCCACAGATGCACGGCACAGCTGGAGAGGGCCTCGAAAGTCCGATTGCTACCCAGGTAACTTGAGAAAGGATGGTAGAGGTCAGAGATGCCCCACATGGGCCCAGAGAGTAGAACTGGGACCCACAAAAGGAAACTAAAGGGACACTTTCCTCCAATCAGAGCCGTGAAAAGATGGAGCAAGTAGCCACTGGAGAATGGCCTCCCATCACTAGGGGCTCAAAGGCCACTTAGCAGGGGTCCTGCAGACCTCCTTCAGGGTGCTCTGCTTAGAAATAACAGGCTTTCTGGGAATTCCCTGGTGGTCTAGTTGTGAGGATTCTGTGCTTCCACTGCAGCGTGCCTGGGTTAGATCAGATCCCTGGTCAGGAAACTAAGATCCTGCAAGCTGCATCATGAGGCCAAAAAAATAAGTAAATAAATAACGGGCGCTGAAGGAAAAAAATAAATTAAAAAAATTTAAATATATGTGCAGGCCTATTTATTTTTTTAGAGCCATCACGCCAGGTTTCAGATCTCAACTCTCGGAAAACCAACTTAACCTCGTTCTGCCTCCGTTCAGTCATTTGTAAAACAGGTTAAATAAGAAAAAAGGAAAGTAAAATAAAAATTGTGGTAAAGGTCACTTATATGCGGGATCTGGAAAAATAGTACAGATGAACTTACCGGCAAAGTAGAAACAGAGTCACAGATATAGAGAACAAACCTAAGGTTTCCAAGGAGGGGGTACGGATTGGGAGACTGGGTTTGACATACATACACGACTATGTATGAAACAGATGACTAATGAGAACCTGCCGTTCAGCACAGGCGACTCGGGGCTCTGTGGTGTCCTAAACGGAAAGGAAATCTAATAAAGAGTGGATATTCGTATAAGTGATTCACTTTCCTTTGCAGCAGAAACTGACACAGTATTATAAACCAACTGTACTCCAGTCATTTTTCTTTTTTCTTAAGTATTGTAAAGGCAGGCAGCGCAGTGGTCAAGAATCTGCCTACCACTGCAAAAAGACGCAGGTTTGATCCCTGAGTCAGGAAGATCCTTTGGAGTAGGAAATGGCAACCCACTCCAATATTCGCGCCTGGAAAATTTCATGGACAGAGAGAGGAGCCTGGCGGGCTGCAGTCTATGGGGTCACAGAGCCAGACACAACTAACTGAAGCACGCATGCGTGCATGCAAAGGTTAAATTAGATAATATATGTAAATGCGCATAGAACAATGCCTAGCACAATCAACATGAGCTATTTATCATTGCAGGTTCTAAGAGTTCTCGCCTAAGCATTTAAGAATGTGAGCCATGGGCCATCAAGAGGCAGCACCCCACTTGGAAAGAAGGCCAGAGTGGGGGAGGCAGGAGAGCTCCAGCACCCTGGATGCCCACCCTCTGCCACCCTCCTGCACCCCTGCACGTGCCACCGTCAGCCGTTCTGGTGCCGCCTGCACCGGATGGTTGGTACAAAGAACCATCTCTGTGCGTTTCACCTTCCCTAGAAAGTGCGACCGTTCCTGGCTGCAGACTGAGAGGAGAAGCCTAATGTTGCTGCAGGAAACTGGAGAGGGCAGGGGAAGCTGGGGAGAGTTTCTAGGGAGTGGACCCAGCCAAGGTCGAGGTCAGGGAAGAACGTGGCAGAAGGCATCTGGGAAGGACTCGTCCCCCGACCCCGAGGCCGGCCTAACTGGCGTGCAACGGTCTGGCACTGCAGGGCCTGGAGGGGAGGGATGCCCTCTGCAGGCCACCACGTCCCTCAGCGCCTTCTCCTCTGTCCCTGCCCGCAGTCTCTGTGGCCTGGGGTACAAGGACACCGTGGGGAAAACCCCTCACTCTCTGCTAATGAATGGGCACCTCCAACAAAACTCCAAATCGAAAGCATAAATTCTGTGGAGGCAGTGGGGGCAGAAAGGCATGGGGCGTATGGGATCCGCTCTCTGAGCCCGCAGCACCCCCTGCTGGCCATGCCCGGGACTGCCAGCATTCAAGAACTCAGCGGAGAAAGGAGAATCTGGTCAACCCTTCCTCAGAGGGAGCAAAGACCTTGTCGTGGTCACTTGGCCACCGCTTGGCTTAGCAGCTGGACAGAGCCAGAGCAACCAGGCCGTTTGCTTTTGCTTGATTCCCTGTGGCTTCTAGATACTAAATCTGCACCTTGCTTCACTTTATGTGGATGGACCTGAGGGCAGTGCTGGGTGCTCAGGACCCTGGCTGACCTCACCCTGGAGCCACGGCTAGGTGCCAAGACCCCATTTTTCATGAGTGTCTGTCTCGGGTAGGACTGGATACAGCCCCTTCTCCTTGCCTCTGCCGCTGGCCCACTGGGCATGGAGAATAAGCCGGAGGACGGGGAAGGAGAGGGGTGCAGGGTCCGCTCCCCCGCCCCCATCACTAGGGTGAGGACCAATACATCTTTCCAACGTACAGGTTTTTGCTCTTTCTCTTCCGGGAGGTGTCATCATCATCCCCTACTGTGTCAGGCCCGCTCATCTGCAGAGAAAACAGAGACACGTTGCAGCCCGGGCTGTTGTCTGAGCAGAGAGGCTCAGGGATCTAGCAGGCCCCGCCAACCAGCCCACCCCCACCTCCATGCTCCCACCCCTTGAAGAACAGCAGAGGGAGGGAGACCCCGCTACTAGGAGCAGCCTGCTCACGGAGTGTCCTCCTCGTGCACCTAGGAACGCAGCTTGGACGGGAGCAGCGCTCACGGCAGTAGGGCAGGATAGAGAAACAGCTTCAGTCAAGGTGCTACTGTGTGACTCAGCCAACTGCTGTCCCTCTCTGAGCCTCCAGTGCTTAATTTCAACATGGAGATCATAGTGACTAACCAACTCAGGATTCTGAGGTTTTTAAAGAGACCTGGGATGGGTCAGCCATGTATTAAGTGCATTATTACATAGGATAGTACCACTCTTGCCTTAAAGCTTTCCCTGGCTCCCAAGTACCCTTGAGACAATGTCCAAACTCTAGGACATGATGTACAGGCTTTACATCTTAGGATATGGGCAGAAAGCTCCGTATCGCCATCAGTTACAACTCCGTCGGTTATCTCTCTGGCCTGACCCCTGCTCCAGCAACTTCTTCAAACTGCCCTCCAACCAAAAACCATTCCAACCAAAAACCTTCCCAGCCGGGCTCTGTACACGTTCTTCCTTCCATAGGAGATGTTTTGGTGACTCTCTCACCTCCCATTCCTTCAAGACCCAGCTTCAGCAAAGACCTAAACCTCAGGTAAGCTGCTTAAATGCCTCCTCACCCAGGAAGCCCTCCTGGACCCCTAGACCCAAGGCTATGCCCTCTTCACCCCTTCGAGGGCCCTGCTGTATCCACCATGGCTTCTCTCCGATCTGTCTCCTCTACTGGAGTGGGAGTTCCCAAGAGCAAGGCCTCTGTCTGCCTTCACCTCTGTCTAGGTCACCTTGACTGGGCCCGGTGTATGTTAGGAGTTCAAGAAATACTTGAATGAACGAATGAATCAAGAGAGAGGGAAAGCAGGTTGGAAAGGATGTGTCTTGAAGGCTTCACTGCTTGATTAATGGCCTGCAATTTTATTTCCTGCTGTTCCACTGAGTCCCCAGATTCTGCCCTGCCCTACCTCCACCCTCCTTGCCTTTGCCTATGCCGTGCCCCCTTCCTGGAATGCCTTCTCCTCTTCTGCCCAATCTTGACTTCCTCCTCGTCTGTCACCCCTCCTCTCTTCCACACCACTCCAGACTCCCACCTTCTCTCCTGGGGCTGCCTTCTGTTGCCCTGCGTCTGTGTGTCCACCCTCCTCCTGAAGAAATCAGACCCCTGCAGTGCCACCCCAGAGCAGAAGCACAGCAAATGCATTGAGATGTTGGAATAGCTGCGGCTGAGATGTCCTAAGACAAGACAGAAGGCCACCAGGTGTGAATCTCAGCTCTAACTCCTCATGAGTCACACCTTGGATCTCAGTTTCACTTGTAAAATACAGAAAATGGGCTGAACTTTAAAATACCATGTTCTCAATCCTGGGAGGAAAAGTGGGCCTAATCCAGATATAGCCGGAGCTACCAGCCTCAGTGGGGCAACGACCCAGAGATGGATGGATGAATGAGTTATAGCTTCATTCATGGAGTTCATGCTAGGCCAGACCTCAGAATGGATGTTATCCAGACACTGTCTCATTAATCTCAGAGTTAAGTCCATAAAGTAAACAGAACCTCAGAGAAGTTAAGTCATCTGCCTGAGGACACCCAGCATTTACGTGACAGCTGGAATCTAGGTCTGTCTGAATTTAAGGGCTGTGTTTCTCCACCAGAGGATGCTGCTACTCAGATGCAAGGACGGGACACATTATGAAGGTTTTCAATGAACGACTCAGGGGAAATGCGCCTCTTTCCTGAGAATGCTGCCCCACCAAGGTTGTAAACACGTGTGTACGTGCACACACAGGCACACACCCAGCTATGGTGCGGGACTCCGGATCTACAGTTTGCAGCCTGGGTACGGATGCTGCCTCCACTAATTTTGGAGACGTTCCCAGGCTTTCTCAGTTTCAGCTTCTTTAGCTCCAGCAGAGGCATCCACCCCACTGTTGGGAGATTCACCAGGATAAAGTCTGGGCCCCGGAGGCTCTGACTGGTACAGAAGGCACCCTCAGGAACTGGGGGCTGCCAGCATTCACCGCCCAGTGATTGCTGTCACCGTCTCGCCCTCGCACACAGGTCACAATTGTCTGGCCTGGCCAGGCAAGGCCTGAAGCCCCCACCCGTGGGAAAGGGCCCAGAGCCTGGGCTTCCTCCCATTTAACCTCAGCTTCCGCACTTTATCGGCCCCACACAATGGGCCTGGGGACCACTCCCGCCCCACCCGCCACCCCCAGCCTCTGCACTGCTGGGAACCCGGCTCTTCCTTCCACCGCTGGGAGGGGGTCATCTTCTCTAGGGTCGGCTCTCATCAGTCAGCCTGAGAGAGAGGCCAGGGAGCTCAGGCCCTGGGAGTCGGCCCCCAAAGTAGCCAGCAAAACCCACACGCCAAGGGGGTGCTGTGTGCCAGAAAGAGACTGAGACAGAAAGTCGGGGTTCTGCTTTCCAATCTCAGTGTGGCTCCCAAGCCTCCTGTCTCCAGGAGCTGCAGTGAGGCCTGCCTGAGGCTCAGCACACAAAGGGTCTCTCCTTCCCATCTATTCCCCTGCTCTGCTCCTTACCTCCTCCATGCTGAAAGGTGACCAGAGAGAACCCAGAACCACTCAAGCCTGCCCTTCACTCCAGACAGAGGTCCCTGAGGCCCGCCCAGCTCCCACCTGGCCACCTCCAGGGACTGGAGGAATAATTACCGTTTATATTGTAATTATAACTATTATAATAGTCACGGTTAAGAGTTAAATGCTAAACTGCCTGGATTTGAATCCTAGCTCAGTCACTTATTAGCTAATCGACTTCAGCCAAATCACATCCCCTCTCTGTGTCTCGGTTTCTTTATTTGTAAAATGAGGATAGTAATTGGACCTCTCAAAGGGGTGTTATGTGGATTAATGAACACCTGTGGAAGAGTCTGATAACTAGTAGCTACGGCGGTGTGAACTGAAACTGTCTCCTGCCATATCAATAAACAAGAAAGGTCACAGCCATCAGTGATCTCTGGCCTCCAAATGTGAACGAGGGCTCCCAAAACTGCGGTCCAGCAGATGCTGCCCCCCACCCACCACCAACAGTGACTGCTGAGGAGCCAGGGAATGCAAGAAGTAGCTATCTGCCAACTCCTAATGAAACAGGACTGGCCCCAGACAGCTGAGGTGCACACGAAAGGAATGAATTAAGTGAGCCCAGAGGTTTGCATCTTCCCATACATAGAATGCTAAATTCCTTAACTTGATACCTGATCTTTGATGTTCAGACTGTCTGCAAACTTGTATATAGCTTGACTTCCTCTTCTGTCTCCTTGGAGCAGTTTTCTCAGATATACTGAGATGCTATCTCCCAGGCTCGGAGTCATTCCCTCCAAACAAAATAACTCTCTACTTTCAGGTTGTGACTATATTTTTTTAGTGGTTAGAGCAGTTATTCACTTCGTGCCAGGCAATGTGCTAAAGTGCTGTGTCATACTTTAATTTAACCTTCTCAACAATTCTAAGAGCTATTTGCTGTTATTTCCCCCTCGTTTACAGCTGAGGAAACTGAGGCCCAGAGCTGTGTGCTAAGTCACTTTAGTCATGTTCGACTCTTTGGGACCCCATGGACTGCAGACTGCCAGGCTCCTCTGTCCATGGGATTTTCCAGGCAAGAGTACTGAAGGGGGTTGCCATTTCTATTTGCCTGGGCTCTCCAAGCTGGCAAGTAGCAAAAAAATTTCAGGTCTGGCTGCAGACCCCACCCATGACTGAGGGGTCTCCTGTAAGCAGGGCCTCACCTGATTCCCCCTATTGGTCCTGACCTGGCTTCTGGGGCCACGTGGCCATGCCTGGCTCCTCTCTCTGACCCAGACCATCCTGGCAGACCACATGGAACTTTGCAGAAACACTGGGGCTAGACTCTACACTTATTTGTTTAGACAGAGGTACGAATCCTTTCGGCTTTTTACAGGTAGGAGGCTGGAAGATGCCATCATGGCTTTGAGCTGGAAGGCGTCTTAGGGGCTCCCTTGTCTGAACCATAGCCTAGATGGGAAACAGCTCCCCTGACAGCCTCTGCCCAAGCTGGTTTCCTGCAGGAGGGGAGACGGAAGCACTGCCAGGGAGGGGCCACAGCCTCTCCCCGCTGTCAAAGAATGACCCATGATTCTGGGCTGAGCCAGGCCAGGCTGGGGTGAAATTCACAGATGCTCTTGGAGCATCCCTGGCTCCCAGGAAAAGGACAGACACGGGCCCAGAAAACCTGTCCTGCCGGACCCTTTTGGGAGCAGCCGGCAAGACGCAGGTCTGGCGGCAGAGGGCGCTGTGGGACAGCTCAACCCAGCGCAAGAGCCAGCCAGCCTCAGGGGGAAACCCACGGGATAACCCCAGGATAACCCAGGGATCTTCTCTTCTCTAGACCTCAGGCAGCCCACCCCTAAGATGATCGTGGCCGAGTGTTCCATCCCTCAGGTCTGTCTGGTTCAGCTCCTCCTAAACACAGCAGAGGGGAGGGGTAACACAGGGACGGTCGCCTCTGGGGCGGGCAGATTGCACGATGGCCAGCCTCGGCTTAGCCACACGGCAGCGCAATGATTGGCCGAAGGCCACAGTAGCTCTGCCTGGCCCTCCTGGGTCTCACTGGATCACAGGATCACTACCGTGGGCACAGAGCTGTCAACAGACTGCAGTCGTCTGGAATCCCTGTGACAACTCCCTGAAGACTTAGCCACTCCTGTTTTATAAGAGAAAATCGAAGCTCAGGGAAAAAAAAAAAAAAACTCAGTAACTTGGCCAAGGTCTCAAGACCAGGAGGGAGGAGGCAGAGCCAAGACTGAACCCAGTCTGACCCCACAGCCCAAAGACCTCAGCCCTCTCCCCTTCACCTCTTGCCTGGCTCTGCCTGGAAACCGTGGTCGGTTGGCATCCGTGGACCCTCCCTGGAAAGCCAGGCCCAAACCAGGAAAATGGAAGTCACGGGAAAACCCGCCACCTCCCCCAGCTGCCAGTCCCCAATCCCCTGCCCCTCACCTGCTAGAGGTGTGCAGGGTTTAGCACAGGCTCAGAGAGGACTGGACAGGGTGAGGCCACTGTCCCGCTCCATCGTCACGTGGCCTGGGACAAACCCTTCTCCCTCAGCTTCAGACTCCCCACTGTAAGATGAGTAGGACTGGTCCCAGCTTGCGGCAGCGAAGGCTAGAGATGGGGGCGGGAGACGCCCGGTGAATCCTGGGAGGGCTGCTACTACTCTTGCTGTCCTCCTCCTTCGCATCGTAACCACTGTGGTCAGCATGATCCCCTTTATGGAGGACCCAGCAGGAGCTGAGTGCCAGGCACTGCTCTGAACACTTAACCCGATTGTAAATCGAGGTATTATTTACTCATAATACCCATTTTACTGATGAGGAAACTGAGGCTCAGAGAAGGACAGGGATTTACCCAAGTCCCACCGCCAGTGAAGGATGGAGGGGAACTGAAGTTTCTGTCCAGCCTAGACTGCACTTCCCCTTGACAACGGTTAGCTTCTTACTGAAGCCGGCTGTCTGGAAGGAGCAGGATATGAACAATGCTGAAGGGCTCGAGGCCTGGTAAGCAAAAGCTAAGTGGTAGGGTGGCAGCCTCTGAGGTCCCTGCCAGCTAGTCACTCAAGCCCAGGAAAGGAGGCAACAGGCCAAAAGAGGGTGGGGGATGGGAGGATGCCAGTGGGAAACTTCAGCTCCCAAAGGAGGAAGCTGGGACAGGAGAGAGCTGGCCTAGGCCCGCTGGACTACCAGGCGGAAATATCTGCTCCCAAATCAGAGCTGAGATTAACTGGTTTGGGGAACTAGAAATGTATGTGAAAAAAAAAAAGAAGAAATGTATGTGAGAACGTGTGTGAATGTATCTGTACACAAATATCTGTACTGGAGCAAGAGGGGATGGGACAGAACTTGGAAGGGTCTGGTGGGGACAGTGAGATTGGGAGACCCAAGGTGGGTGTGGGTCCTTGGACCTCAGCCATCGTCCAGAGGAGAGTGTCCAGGCCTGGCCTGAGTTGGCCTGAAGCCTCACTTCAGTAGGACAGAGGTCTGGACTCCCTATAGAAACTGCCTCCAAAAAAAAATGGCCTTAGACGGTGATACTCAAGCTATGGGAAATGTCCCAATCCCTGAGGGACTGGTTTAAAATGCAGGGTCTGGGCACTGCCCCCTGGAAATTCTGATTCCAGCTTCTAGGGAGGGGAATTAGAAATCTATATATTAATGACCTATTCCCCTGATGACTTCAGAGCACATCAAAAGTGCTTACAGATGAGGAAATAGATCCAGTCCCCATGCCTTTGGGATTTAGTTCTAATTCCTGGACACAAAGTTTAAGGCCCTTTTCTGGAGGGCCCCAACCTACCCTTCCAGCATAGGCACCTTTCAGCAGAAGGTGTTCTCCTTCCTACCGAGTGGCCTTATTGCTAGTGGGTGAGAAATTACAGAGGCTTCTGAGGCCATGTCTCAATCTGGAGGGGAAATGTGCTGGAATCCATTAGTCATGTCTGCCACAGGTTTGGAGGCAGGAATGGCAGCATGCATGCCATGCATCAACCATCTGTACACTTTAGAAATCTCTTTTTCTAGCTAAATTAACTTCTATAGACAGTTTAGTCCGGGTCATGTTCTTTCACAGAATGCCTACCTCATCCTCTCTGTTTATTCTAAACCTGCTCAACTTTCAAAGCCAAGCTGAGGAGCATCTTTGGCCAGAAGCCTTCCCTGGTGGCCCTAGGCCCTGGGGCCTCTCCTCCTGGAACCTGTCCCACCAGCGCCCCCCAAGCCTCACAACAGCTGTCATAACAACACCTTGCACCACAGTGACTGTTAGCAACTTCACAGCATTTGCCTGGCGCCTAGACTAATGACATCAGGCACCAAGCCCTTTAGAAAGTGAAGTGAAAGTGTTAGTAGCTCAGCCATGTCTGACTCTTTGTGACCCCATGAACTGTATCCTCTGTCCATGGAATTCTCCAGGCAAGAATACCGAAGTAGGTTGCCAATCCCTTCTCCAGGGGATCTTCCCAACTCAGGGATAGAACCTGCGTCTCCTGCATTGCAGGCAGATTCTTTTCACCGTCTGAGCCACCAGGAAAGCCGCAGGCTCTTTGGGTTCACCCTCAATTGCCATGAGTTGTGAGTGCTATTAATCTCTGCTTTTCAGAGAAGATGCTAAGGCTCAGAAGGGCTGAGTGGCTCACGCAGGACCACATAGTAAGTGAGGGACAGAAACCAGATTCAAATTGGCTGGTGGGCCTCAAGGACTTCCCAGGTGGCTCAGTGGTCAAGAATCCGCCTGCCAAAGCAGGAGATGCAGGTTCGATCCCTGGGTCACGAAGATTCCCTGGAGGAAGAAATGCCAACACACTCCAGTACTCTTACCTGAAAAATACCATGGACAGAGGAGCCTGGCGGGCTACAGTCCATGGGGTCGCAGAGTTGGACTTGACTGAGCCAGTGAGCGTGAGCACGGATGGGCTTCAAAGCCATGATGCAGTCTTTCCACTGTTAGGCCACCCCCCTGGCCCACACAGGACACACATTCCTCACAGGCTGAGATCAGCCTCTCGCATCTCTGTGGCCCCTGCTGTGGCACAGAGCACCGGGCCTGGCACACAGCAGGAAGTCAATAAACACTTATTCATCTATTTATAAATATTTGCAAGAGACAAAGAGCATGGTGGTTAAGAGCTCCAGCCCTGGAGCCTCATTCTAATTCTGATTCAGACATTTATAAACTGTGCAGCCCACCGTGAGTGACATAGCCTCCCGGTACCTCAGTTTCCTCATCCGGAACAGGCAAAAACAGTGCCTACCTCATAGGGCTTGCTGTGAGAGGTAATGAGTTCATATAAATTGCTTAGAATAATGCCAGCATGGGGGAAACACGTGTTGCCATGCTTGTGGGCTGACAGATTTCTAGTCTGGCTAGGCTTGGACCAAGTGTAAGTTATAACTATTTCTCCAGCTAGCATGCTGGATCTTATAGATCCAAAATACACCTGCTCTACTTGCGGTGGATTCCCCCGGTAAAATAGAGCTGTGAGAATATCTGGAGTCAGAAAGTCTTGCGTTTAAGTCCAAGTTCTGCCTTCTTGGTCCCTCTGGGCCTCAGTTTTATCATCTGTTAAATGGGTAGAAGGCTTATTGGAAGGTTGAGACAAAAGCAGAGGTGGGACAAAGCCAAGATTCATTCCCTGCAGCTCTTGGACCCATCCAACCCTGTCATGTACCCTGTTCCCCTCCACCCCTGGGCTCCTTACCTTTCTGTGTCCTGTGAAAAAGAGGGAAAGGTGGTGCATTGAGCCTCCATTGCGGCCCAGTTCCTTCTTGAGGGTGCGGGGGGAAGGCATGGCCCAGGCGGCCGTGGTGCCCTCGCCATCCGAGCAGTGCAGGGTGGTGTCGGAGGAGAAGCAGGGCCCGCGGTTCTCCTGCAGCAGACTGCCCTCGCTGTGCGTCCGGCGCCGCAGCGAGTTCTGAACGCGCAGCGAGAGGCCGCCCTCGGCTCCCTGGCCCGTCTCGATCATGCTGCTGCGCTTGGCCTCCCCTCGCTCTCCGTAGTTGTCATCGCTTGTGTCCTCATCCTCGTCCTCCTCCCCCTCCTCGGCCTCCTCTGCGTCCTCCTCGTCGCCCGAGCTGCCCCCCTCCGCCCCTGCCTTCTGGCTGTAGGTGCTATCCAGCCGGACCTCGGGGATCACGAAGTTCGGCTTGGAGGCCACGGGCGGGTTCCCTGTGGCTGCTGGTGGGTACCCGGAGCTCGTGGTCTCCTCAGCAAGGGGCTCAGCTGCCAGGGGGGCCTGGCCCGGGGGCAGGTCTTGACGGGGCGGAAGGTCCTGGGCAGGGGGTTCCTGGAGGGCAGGGAGGTCTTTGCTGATTAGAGGGTCTTGGCCGGGAGAGGGTTCTCGCCCAGCAGGAATGTCCTGGCACGGAGAGAAGACTGCGGCTGCAGGGTGTTCCTGGCCTGGTGGGGAGTCCTTTCTGGGCAAGCATTCCTGGCCCACAGAAGGTTCTTTGCCAGAAGGTGAGTCTTTGCTGGGCATTGATCCTGGGCCAGCAGAAGGTTTCTGGCCAGAAGAGGAGTCCTCTTTGGGTGGAAGCTCTTGTCCAGGAAGAGGCTCCTGGCCAGGAGAGGGGTCTTTCCTGGGTGAGGGGTCGTTGGCACCCGGCCCCTTCCCTTCCTCCCCGGGCATTTCCTTCTTCTCATCCGCCTCTGACTCCTCAAACATCTGTGAAATAAAGAGAAAATGAGAAAGGCTTACAAGAGGAGACTACGGTGCACGAGTCAGTGTCACAGAGACTGAAAATGAGGCGGCGATCCAAAACCCACACCCTGTATCCCATGGTGTGAAAGCCGAAGGGCCCCGTGGAAACCCGACAGCCCCTTTGGCTTAGCTGAATATGGGCTTCCCGCCCTCACTGCCTTGCTAGAAACTTGCACTCCATCAAAACATGGTTGGTCATTTAAGGGAGAAGAGGGAGAGGCTAGTTACCATTATATGGCTCCTCTCATATGCCAGGAGCCGTGGCAGAATAAACCCCTCTTATATAATGTTCCCCAGGGGCTTTCCTGGTGGCTCAGAAGGTTAAAAAAAAAAAATCCATCTGCAGTGTAGGAGACCCAGACTTGAGCCCTGAGTCGGGAAGATCCCCTGGAGAAGGGAATGGCAACCCACTCCAGTATTCTTGCCAGGAGGATCCCATGGACAGAGGAGCCTGGTGGGCTACAGTCCATGGGGTCACAAAGAGTCAGACAAGACTGAGTCACTAATACTAACATGTAATGTTCCCAATGGCCCTCGAAGGGGAGTGTCACGGTCCCTCTGTGAGTAAGTCGCTCTGTGAATAAATAAGGAGCAGACAGCCTTGGCCTTCATGGACCAGAATCAAACCAATCCCCAAACCAGAGCAGCTACCAAGTGAGAGAACCCCAGACCCAGACAAAGGATATCTTCCACCTGAACCAAAGTCTTTTAAAAGCCTTAGTGAGTCATTTGAAGAAGAACTTGCTCTGAATGTTCAGCTCTTTTTGAAACTAGTAAAGTGGAAGAAAACCAGAACTTCAAAATACTGCACATACCTATACTCGACAGATGTCATAGACATGTGGAACCTCACTGAGGGATCACCCATCCCGTGCTTTTTAAACTGTGTTTGGAGGAACCTCAGGAGTCACACGTACAAACCAAAGAGGAAGCATCCCTGCCTCACACACCACCCTCAGAATCCTTGGAGTTTTCGCTGGGTTCCTGCAGATTTCATTTGCAAAAGGGAAAATACTGCCCTTACTCCGAGTCTGAAAAGCAGCTATCTCATAGGTAGACTGGGGCTCAGAGAAAGTCAGGGGTGTCCCAGGGGCACAGCCACACGGGAAAGTGGGTCAGGCTTGGACTAGGCTGGGCGCCCCCATCACAGGCAAGGACTTGGAGTGCTGGACCGGGAACTGCTCGGAGCCTAGGTTCTGTCCATGAAGAGGCCACGAGGACACAGAACTAATGAAAGAGGAAGATGCCACACATTTATGCGAACTGTACAGATAAAGACACACACACACACAGGCGGAGAATTTCATGGTAAATGTCTCAGAACATAGGTTGAGTTCTTACTGTAAAGACCACTCATGTCCATTTGATGGATGAAGAAGCTGAGCCCAAAGAGCAAGGACTTACCCTCTTATGGCACAGCTGCCAGAGACTGAAAGGCCATGCCTGCAGCTGGGAGCTCTTCTAAGCTCTGGGCCGGCCAGGCCTCACATCTGGGAGTAAGGGGCCCAGCCGCAGCCCAGGGCAGCTGCCGCACCCACGTGTCAGGGGTCACAGTGGCGTCTGGGAGCAGCAGGGTGGATGTGAAAGGCCAGCGGGGTAAGAACCACCGCCTGGGAGGTTGAAAGTGAAAGCCCCTCCCACCTCCACCTCCAGGGTTGGGGGAGGGAGAAAGTTGCTGAGCCAGGAGGGGGAGCCTCAGAGGACTCCAGGATGATGTGGCCAAAGTCTGGTTCCCAGGTACAGGCAAAGACAGGGGCCCACTCACCCCGAGGACTGCCTGCCCTGCAAATCCTGCCTGCAGCTCCACGGTGAAGACTTCTCCACCCAGGAAACCCTCAGACCACACTGCCCCAGACCCGGGAACTTTGGCGAGCCCGTATCCCCACTGCGCAGATGGGGAGACTGAGGCCCAGAAAGGAGAAGGGGCCAACCCAGAATCACACAGGGGGCCAGGAAGAGCCAGTCCCTAAAGCCTCTGGACCGCTGACTCGCTACCTATGAAATGGGATAAGCGAGGTACCCAGGGGACACACGAGGAGAGTACACTATGAAAGTCCAAAGCTCTGAAATGCAATGGTGGTGGTAGTGTGGGGGTTGTGGTGATGAAAACAATGTCACAAAACTCAAACAGTGGCACATCTTTCTCATGGACCCCTAGAAGCAAACTGTCAAGGTTCCCAGAATCGAAGTTGGCAACTGTGATTCCAGGCGCCCCAATCCAGGAATCTCTTCTGGGAACCTTAGTTTGGTCCCAGGGGGTTCAGAGAGACCCTCCACTGAACTGACAGGAAGACAGAAGGCCCAGCCTGGACAGTGACCTAGGGACTTGCCCAAAGGCACCCGTAAACGCAGGGCTAAGCTGGGGTTAGAGCCTGACTCCTGGCTCTTTCTTCCCAAGCCCCCTTCAGATCTCAGTTCCCAGGGCAGCCCAGCTCCTGCCCACCCCCTCCCACCAGCAAGCATTCTCCATCAAAAAAAGCAAACTGTGGGCAACGCCAGCTCCCTGGTGTCCCACATTCTCTCACGTCCCCCTCTTCCAGGCCCCTCCATCTGGAAGCACGGACAGTAGGAAGTAGCAATTGGTGCCCTCGGGGCCTGGCACTGGGCCCTGAGAGAGGAGCAGGCCACCTTTCCCCTTCCTGGGGGTGGAGTGGGGCAGGGCCTGCACCAGCAGTGACTGCAGCCTAACCACCTGCCCCTCGAGAAAGTGCAGCGCCAGACCCAAAACCAGAAATGCAAGTCAGCCTGCCTCTGCCAATCCCGTGCTCAGCAGAGGCCAAAGCAAACAAACCAAGCCGGGAGGGGAAGTGCCTCTGCCCTCAGGGGGCCCCCGCCCCAGGGACGCTGAGAGACCACTCAGGACCGAGGGCTCTCACGGCACCCAGCGGTTCCTGCTCAGACAGACCGAGTCAGACTTCGGTTTTGCTTCCAGCGGTGTCATTTCCTAGCTGTGTGAAAACATGGCCAAGCCTCCCCGAATTCTCCGAGCCCTGATTCCTTACCTGGAACGGAGCCGTGATATCACACCAAACTCACAGGACTAAGTTCATGCTCTTCACGGGGCCCGGCCCCAAAGAAGCATTTGATAAAGCGGGCGCTATTCTCAGTCTAGGCTTATCTTTGTCATTGTGGAGTTGCTCGGTCGTGTCTGACTCTTTGCACCCCCATGCGCAGTAGCCCCCAGCCTCCCCGGTCCATGGGAGTCTCCAGGAAAGAATACTGGAGTGGGCTGTCATCCCCTTAGAGATCAGGAAACTAGGTCTCAGAGGCCAAGGGCATTACCTAAGAAATGGGAAGCTGATTCAGTACTGGAACGCCTGTCTCCTAGTCAAGGGTCTCTCCCCACTTCCTTGGATCTTTACACACAAGGGCAGGGGTGCTGGGTAGAGGGGGAGGCCCGGGAGTTTAGAGGGAGGGGGAGCAGGCTGTGAGCAATGGCCCTTCACCCAGGCCCATCCGCCACAGGGCAGACATTGGCAAAGAAGAACCAGCTCAGAACAGACCAGGTTCTGTTTCGTGCGAGCCGCCTGAGTAGGCTTGGTCAGATCTGTGTTCCTGGGAAAGCTGGAGTATGGGGTACCCGAGAGGGCAGAGGGCCCTGGCGAGAGCCAGGTTACGGAGCGGATGCCAGGCAGGAGCTGGTCCTGGGAGCGGCGAAACAACACAAGCAGAGCTGAGCTATGTGAAACTGCTCTGGGCGGGGTGACAGGTCATGGGGGTGGCGGGAGGACTGGGGTGCACGTGTCCACACAGTCATTCATTCCCCGGCCACTGAGTTAGGTCCTGGGGTGGGGGTGGGGACAGCAGAGACCAAGTCCGACGCATTCGCTGCCCTCCCCTGAGCAGAAAAGCAAAGGCTGAACAACTGGTCTTAGGGAATGCGGTGAGAGCTCTGAAGGAAGTGCAGGCAGCGGGGGACACCCTGTTAGGCAGCTGTTACAGCAGGTTGGGGTGCCAAGAATCCAGCCAAGATGGCCCAGAGACCAGCTGACTCGCCCAGGGCCCTGGGTCGGAACGCTCCAAGAAGATGCCCTTCTGCTGCAGAGAGTGTGTATCTCTCCCATCCATCATCTCTTTGGCTCGGCTGGACCAGGGTTAATTCTGTGCATGTCTCGCCTGCTAGAAGCACACAGGAAATGAACCAGGCCTTCTAAATGGAGCTGCTCTTTAGGATATAATCAAATCCTCTCCCCAGTCCAATCCAGGGCTCGGAACAGGCTGGGGAAGGGTGGCAGGTGTGACACCCAGAGGCCTGGCGCACACCACCTACGTCCCTCGGGCCCTGCGGTGGCAGACTGCAGGAAGAGACTTGCCCAATGTCACATAGCTACTAAACGTGGATCAGGTTGGCTGACCCCAAAGTCAACCTGCAGCTCTAATATGACTCATCACCTCCACCACAGATGCCGAGCTCGAATCTGCCCTCGAAAACCACTTCCTGCATTGGGCAGGGCAGGACTGGGCTGGGGTGGTGGAGGTCGGGGTTTGGGGTTGGGGGTAGAGTGCCAGGGTTTGCCTCTATCTCAGGGGCGCCCTTCTGCAGGATTTTCAGAAAGAGCCTGGACAGAAGGCCGGAAGACCCCGGTTGGAACCCTCACCCCATCATTTGCGAGCTGTGTGATCCCAGGCGGTCACTGCCAGGGACCAAGTCTGAGAAAGGACAGGAAGGTAGCCCTGTGAAAGGGAAAGCGGCTGGACAATGGGAGAGGCTACAAGACTCCCACCCAGCCCTTTGAGCTCCAGGCTTGCCTTTTGAGATGGGGGTACTCCTCTGAGTTTGGCAAGCTGGCTCAATGCCAGCTTCCAGGAACCCCCGCTCAGCCTCAGTCCAGCGCCCCAGGCCTGGCTTCTTGACCCCCGGGGGCTGGAACCACCGCCCTGCCTCTGCCACTAGCTCAGGGCCTCCAAACTGCTTTCCTCCTTGGCCCCCACTGTGCTGGGTTTGGCAAGGCCCAGGAGGAGGG